GCATGTATGTGTTTTAGGAAGAGAGGACAAAGGAAGACGTTTGAGAAGGATGTGATGAACGTGCACTCTCCTTCTTTCATCCATTATAAAAAAAAGTGTTTTCAAGTGATCTATTTTTTCAATCAAATAAGTGGACACAGTTAATTGAAGTCAGGCTTACTTAATTATTTTTGTCTGAGTTCATTAGCTCTTCCCGTTTGGTTGTTGTTAATTGAAATTGATCAGGCCTTCAAACAAAATTGTTTTTACACTTAATTAAATCTTAAATGAAAATATTTGAAAATGTTAGCATCAGCCACCTAATTGTCAGTTCCTGTTTATCAGAAGAGGGCTGGAGCCGTAATCATGAGTGACACCATCTTTGATAAATACAACACCATGTTATTGCGAGAGGCAATCACAGACGAAAAACAATCAAGTGCCCTTCATATGTGTTGTGTACCCTTCATACATGTACTTGCCCAAGTGTATAATTAAAATTCTGCACACTATTCATGGATGTAAACAATTTCCCACTGAGAGTATTTCATTAATTGCATGTTTTGGTGACCACAGGCTAAATTGTTTTTTGAAGCACCTGTAGGTAACGTTTGCTCTTTTGATTTCAGTAACCTTCCTCCCCGGGTCTCTAGGCTGATTCCATGACTACAGCACTAACCTCTTACAAACACAACATGGCTGTTTATGATATCCCTGATTTAAACAAACCCTTTCTGGTTACTTTTATCAAATTTTATTGGATATGAGCCAGTTATTTGTAACTATTTATGAACCAGACCTGGGCAAAGAAAAATTATTTTAAATATATTTTTAATATACAAAGTTCTTATAATACTTAATAATCATGTTAGTAGATTCTAATGTAAAACTTTTAAAATCCATAATACATAATTTACAGAATTAAATTATGATTTGCATAGTTTAAGTACTCAAATATATGTTTTAAAAAATATTAATATAAATTGAATTAATAATATTCTGTTTAATATTACATTTATCATATGAATATTAATGCATAAGGTGGGACTAATTATAATATCAGTATATGTATATATATATATATATATATATATATATATATATATATATATATATATATNTATATATATATATATATATATATATATATATATATATATATATATATATATATATCAAAGCTAATTATCATGTGATGATTAACTGAGGATTTCAAATTATAACAAAAATGTTTAAATTTAACTTTGTATCTTCAATATTTGGAACCACTTTAAGAAATACAAATTAGAAGAAACTACTGAATAAAGTATTTTCTATACATGTAGAATAAGAGAATAAATTATTTGTGTGGAATATGATGACAGCAGATACCTACTGTCATTAAATATTTACATCAAATGCAGTAAAGCTATGAATAGCTCAAACATTATCTTTTTTTTGTTATATGATAATTATTTCTGGTTACAATGGTTGCAGCCTTTGAGTGTTTACCTAATTGAACAAATGAATTATTATCATTATAGAGATTCTGCGATGACCATCTAAGCAGTAAATTACAGTAGTTTTTTAAACAACCAGGGACAAATCATTTAGGTTTCATCATTATTTATTTTCACATAATATTTATAAATTGCAAGTTAATTTGCCCCAAGTGTGTATGAAGAGGGCTTAATGATGTGGTGTAGTTTTTGCTGGTTTTACAAATGTTTAAATATTTTTAATATGTACTTATCGGCAAATAAACTTAAGAGTCATGCAGTCTTAATAATTCCCCCACCTTACCCCCCCCCTCGCGTGGTTGGCTGTGGTGGGGGGAGCAATGAACCAGCCAGATGGCCCAGTGGGCTCACTGGGTCTGGCAAGAAACTGGACCCAAGGGAGGAGCTCAGGCTGGTTCCATCTGGTCCAACAGACACCAGCTGGCTAAGACAGGACTCTCAGAATCTTCATCCCTCCTGCAGTGGCCTCCTGCCTGTCACCACCAACCACTGTCTGTAAATACAAAATACTGTCGGTAATCATTAACCAGTATCCGAGACCACTAACCACTGAGTGCAAACACTACCCACTGCCGGCGACCGCAAGACAGCAGGTACAGTCACTGGTCTTAATAGAAATGCTTGTTTATATCTGCTCTTATATGGAATATGTGAACTCTTATCGCAGTGATTTTCACTTCAGTGGAAAGGAAAGAACCATTATCCAGGCTCAGGTCGGCTTTATCCCAGGATTGTCTCTGTACCTTGGGAAAGGGAACCTTGAAACATGCTGCAAAAAAGTACCTTAATCCAGGATTAAATCCTGGCTATAGCTGTATCCTAGATCCATCAGTTTCATTCATTCGACCTTTGGATTATTTGCAGAGCAGGCTTGGAGGTGAATCATCGTACATCTGCTTCCTAAAGGCTACTCAATATTCTTGTTTGCTCCAAAAAAACTCATAGAAGCATCAAGGCACCACGAATAATTTAAGTGGTACTGAGCAGTAGCTGACAGTGTAACCAGAGTCAGAGAACTCAGAGGTACAATGCATGAAGATGCTGACAGTGCATTTAGACAAAGACGAAATATTGAACAGTTAGAGTCGGATTCAATGTTTCACTTCCAAAAGTAAAGTAACTAATTGGCAGTCAAAGGACTCCAAATCCTTCCTGTGGTGACATGTATTTAATACTAAAAAATGGAGTCACAATGTTGGGTAAGGTTGCTGATTGCATTTAACAGATCAGAATGCCTTCAGCAAGGGTGAGTGATTCAGTGGGTTAAGACTCAGTGTCTGTGATCCAAAGATCACTGGTTCAAGCCCTGGTCTCTGCAGAACCGTCATGTGTCAATGGGCCCTTGAGCGAGGCCCTTAACATCCAGCTCCTGGAGTGTTGCATGTTAGCTGTGACCAGCAAGCTATGGAGAGCAAGCTGGGGTTGATGAAATGAATGCACCTGTGTTTGTCTTAATGGCAAATAAAGCCTGTTTGTTTTCAAAGGAAAAAAAAATCACAATTTCAGCATGGCTGTCTTGCAGTAGGAATTATGACAGCATTCATAAACTTGCATGCTTACCATAATGTTGTAGACATAGTACTTGATGGTGTGAGGTTTCATCATGTTTGGTGAAAATTTCAGATTTGTTTACAATACGTATTCAAGATGTTTGTTAGAATATGCAATAATTTACCCGAAAGCCTGGGAATTCTTCAAGAAGTCAATGCAGTTTTTGAAAAAGACCAGGCAAACTTCCGAAAACCCAGGAATCTGTCATGAAGTCCAGGTGATTATTGGGAGAGGGCAGCAGATAACCTGTGGCTGGAGAGACACAGCGTCCCAGGCAATCTGCTCCTGCTCATTGCCGATTCTTAGCTGAGTGATATGTAAACACGCTGTGTTAGAGGTTCTGGAGAGATTCCAGTCTTTTAATTGTGTCTACGGCAACGGGGAGGTGGAGGTGACAGTGAAGTGATTGCAAGCGTATTGCACTGCGGGGGAGGCGGATGTGCGTAGCAGCTGTCCTTCCTGGCTATCATTCAACACTAACACATTTTAGACAGCAAACATTTCATCAGAGTGTCTCTAAGCTTTCCGCCATTGTGAGGCCATCTTTTAGTCACCTGGAACAAGACACGGGATGAGGAGTGTATGGAATAAGGTATAAGGAAAAGAGTGAAGAAAACAGAGATTGAGGGAGTGAAGGTGAGAGAGAGAGAGAGAGAGAGAGAGAGAGCGACTGAGGCAGCGGGGACTGGCTGAATGAGGGCTATACTCAAGAAATGGAGGAGCTTCAGTATGTCTCACACAGAGGAGCTGTTAGAGCGGAGTGGCGGAGCGGGAAGAAAGGAAGGATGATGACAAACCAGCGACAGGCCTGAACCGACAAAGGGCTCAAACAGCCGACACAGGAAGAGGATTCAGAACAGAGAGGCGGGGGGGGGGGAGAAGAATCCAGAGAACAGGGAGGATGGGGGGGGGGGGCTGCCAGGGCCTTTTAGGGTCACAAGACGGCCACGACGAGGAGCCCAGGAAGGAAGTGGCATGATTGAAGGGGAAGGAGAAGAAGCGGGGAGGAAGGAGAAGCAGTGGTGAAGGGATCCAGTGGTGATAAACGGAACAAGATTGTTTGTGTCAGTGTAAAGGCGCCTGGCCGCAGACAGAGGTGAGGACAGAGCAGCGGTGCTCCTCCCTTTCCAGCATCAGCCAAGACTCTGTGATTAATCTGAGTTTCCACTCACCACTCTTATTCATTAGTGGGCCTTCTAATGCCTACACATCGGCCAGCGAAAACCATTAGCAAAGCACCCTATTGTCACTTAACCCCCACGTTACTGACAAGCCATCAGTCCGGCAGCACAATTAGACAAAGCATTTGGTTAAACCCCTAGTGCGATGTACCTGCCCAATCGCTATTACCCCATGTCCGACTGCAATTATTTCACAAACCTATTGGGAGAGCCCTCTTCAGGTGAATACAGGTTTAGCATGCACATCTGCATCCGTCAGTTGAGAGAGGGAGATGCAGGGTGTCTGCATGGAGTATCCTGACATCTCCTCAGATTCATTACCGCAGCAGTGAGAGCCGTCTGACAGGCTGCCGGGGGCCTTGATTTGCTGAGCATCTTGCCAGATCTTCACAGATAAAACCTTCTTTTACCCCTCGGGGGGGGGGGGGAGACGACCAGACGACAGCAAGGCTGAGTTCCTGTTGCAGCTGCAGTTTTGCAATACTCGGAACTATGTGATGGGTGGGAATGTATGCTGGGGGGGTGGGCAGGCTGCTTAGCAGAATTAGCATGGTCCAGCCAAGTTAGCCAATCACAAACAGGCTCAGGATGTTCATGATCAGCTTTTGGAAAATTCTTATTTTATCCAGTTTTTCCCATAATGTAACCGGCTGTAATGGCATGATTACTCTGCCTTATTGCTTATTTTCAGTGCCTGCAGGGTTGACCATTCTGCTCTGACCCTTGTTTATACTGCTGGTGTTTACCTAACAGATCAGTTGAGTCACAGTTCGCTCCCTTCTGTCCCCAGGCTCAGTGGCACCACGGGGTTTCGCGGACCTGCACTTCGTGTTAGAGCCTGCTGACACCGCCGTGGCCCGGGGAGGGCTGCTGCAGCTGGACTGTCAGGCTCGCTCGGCACAAGGGGCGCCCCTAGTGGCCTGGAGGAAGGACGGCGTGCTGCTGAGCGCGCTGGTGGACGAGCGGAGGCAGCAGCTGGCTAACGGATCGCTGGTGGTCCGTGACGTGGTCCACTCGCGTCACCACCAGCCCGATCAGGGTGGGTACCAGTGCCTGGCGTCGCTGGAGGGCGTTGGGGCCATAGTGAGCCGCTTCGCAAAGGTCACAGTGACAGGTAAGAAGGCCTGCGCCGCGTCGCTACAAATGCTTCACCGAGGCTGATGCTCATGTACCTTCAGCGCTACACATGCTCAGCAGACACTCAGATAGCAGCTTCCAGCTTTAGAAATATACTCCTTCATGCAGTGACACAAGAGATTAAATACAAGGCATTAGATAAAAAAAGAACTTTTATTTCCTTGAAATGTGCTGCGACAGTATGCTTTTCTGTTTATGTATCAGAGAAAAGTGAAATTCCAGATGGGAATGTAGTAAAAAAGCCTACAAAGCTGCACTCCTGTGCGTTGCTGAAGATGTATGCACTGCAACCTGGCAGGTGTACTGGTGCAAGGACACCAACACGGCTCGTGTGAATATCAATAGTGCATGTGTCGAAAGCATGCCTTCTGGGCATGTCCACCGTATTGGGTAAAAAACAAGAAAATGGATTGAAATATGTGTGATCAGTCCTGTGTGACATGCAGGGCAGATTGTGAAGGTGAATCAGCGTGAGCTGGGGATTGGCAGGGAAACCACATTTATCAGGACTGATGGGAATTGTGCAGGGAAGGGTCAAGGTAACAAGAAACGCACATACTGTAGAAGGTATTTTTCTGGACGTAACGATAAAGAAACATAAATTTGGGTGTGTCTGTGTGTGAGGCACAAAAAGGACCTTTCAGGACAGCATAGAGTGTCTACTCCACATCACCGGGGGTGTTGGGGAGACAACAAGGAAACAGGCCACTCAAATCAGCCCTCAAAGCCGCTCTCCCTCCCCCCCTGCCCCCCTCCCAGGATGGCAGACAGCCCCGCCCCCACCCTCATTCTCCAGTGTTAATTATCTTCCCTGAAGAGCCAAAATCAGTAACTAGTTTCCAGCCTGTGTGCAGCATTTTTAATTAATTGTTAAAAATTAAGCTAAATTTACTTGCAAATTGTCTTACACGTTTTCATAAGCCATCTCAGATAAGTATGTATCAGTAACAAAAAATAAAGCTTTAACATTTATAATAATAATAATAATAATTATTATTATTATTATTATTAGGCATGGGTGGATTAGTTAGTTGTTTTCAGTAACGCCTCAGATCATTTAAATAACAACAAAAAGAGAAACCGCAGCCAGTGATTCATTAGCACATGCAAATACAGCAGCTCGCTCAGTAATTACCCTCTGTTTGCACTCAGCGACAGTTGTGCGAGTATTAAATCCCCGGCACACAGGCGGCGCACGAGAAGCGAAACACACATTACACGCTAATGGCGCCGCCTCGCATTTCGAATGACGAGTCAGAGGGCGTCCGCTCCGGCGGGCCGGCGGCTAGGAGCAGAGCAGCCGGAGGGTCTCCCCACTCAAGGTCATGGGGGCATCCGCGCCGAGCGCACGGCTCACTGCATTCGCAGTCAGAGTTCAATGGCTCGGGCCCTGAGAGTGGCTGACGGCCGGCCCTGTGCCAAGCCTGAGCGCCAAGAGCAGCTGCTGCTGGGCAGGGAGCTCCTCGCCTCGTTTGCCCCCCCCGCCCCCCCCCGCATGGCCAATCCTCGCTCATGTGCATAGGGCATGAGCCGGCGTCTCCCACCCCCACTGCGGGCTCAGATCTGGCGTCGGCGATGTGCGATCCCACGTGTCTCTGAGTTCCTGCGTACCTGTCCCTCCAATCACATCGCCGCTGTGGCGTAGAGCCCGGCGTGGAGCGTAGAGCCCGGCGGGGAGTGTAGAGCCCGGCGGGGAGCGTAGAGCCAGTCCGCACTCAAGAAGCGTTTGAGGTGGTTTGTGGGAATACACCGGCGATGACATTTAATGATGGGGGGCTTGGTATTAAACTACTGCAAAGTGCTCCCAGAGGTTTATGTGGAATTCATTATGGCCAGAGTACCACTCGTTACATTAGGACTTTGGCACTGTCCAGGCCTCTGAAACCCATGTGTGGTGGCCTGTGTTGCAGGGCCAACAGAGAGGACATAGCTGGAGTGGATGGGTCAAGGGCAGGGACAGAGCAAACGTGTGGCCTGGGCCGGCTGGGGGGGAGGAATACTGAGGATCAGCACAGTAGCCAGGGGCCAGGGAGCGGGGAGGGGCCCGTGTGGGGACTGGAGCCAGCAGTAAAAGCCGGGTCAGTACTGACGGCACGACCAGAATTTAGGGAGGGAGAGTGGCGTTAACAGGCCCAGCAGTGGATCCAGGATGGGGTGAGCATTTTAAGGTCTGGTTTATGGTCACTGCACATCCCACAGTGCCAGACTGTCCACATTCCTGGATGTTCATAGGCCTTGTACCAAACTGCCAGGCAGCCGTGTACTTTGACACCAGACCTGGGGTAGCGCTTTAAGCGAAAGCTTCTCTTAAGTCTCATTTATGAAATGTGGTATGGATATTTTATTAAAAATAAGTATTTTACTAAAACTAATCATCTGTTATGTACTCGCGGTGCACAAGTACATAGACAGGTATGAGGTGTTTCAATCATATATTTCATTTTAGTTTGCGCCCATCTGAGAGTCTTTATAATCCCTTAGCAAGGAATCATATAAGTGCTGGTATTTCCAGACTTCCTCAGCCATCCTCTCTTTGGATCTGCTCAACATATTTGTTATCCTTCTGATCCGAGAGGGTAGAAAAGGCGTTTATATACAATCTTTGATCCAATCTGCTTTCTGACTTCCTGTTACTTTTCCCCTGGCCAACAAACGATGAAGGTGAGTTGGCCTTGCTTGGGATTTGGAGTGGTTACCTCCCAGTGTGGTCTCCGCACCCAACCTCTGTGACGAAAATGACGCTGTGGTGTGTCCACACGATGAACCAGCCCTAAGGCTGAAGTATTTGAGGCTTAGTGTACAGGATTAGGCCTGTTTTGTATTTAGTATTGATCGCCATGTTCAGATCTTGTCTATAGGAACATGGGAAAACATGCATGTCAAGTTAGTGAAGGTTGGTCTGACACAGGCATGATCTACACACTGATGGTCTCACAGGCATGTTCTACACACTGATGGTCTGACACAGGCATGTTCTACACACTGATGGTCTGACACAGGCATGTTCTACACACTGATGGTCTGACAGGCATGATCTACACACTGGTGGTCTGACACAGGCATGATCTACACACTGATGGTCTGACAGGCATGTTCTTCACACTGGTGGTCTGGCACATGATCTATACACTATTATTTAAGTGTTTATATAAAATACATAGAGTCAAAACTGTGTGTGTAAGGTCAAAGACTTATCTGTTTTTATTTCTGTTCTTTGATGCATGGTTAATGTACAGTTCATATATATTGCCTACAAACATTCCATTTGCAATTCCAGCAGTGCAGCACTCCGTATTTCACCAAAATACAATACAAGAGACCCTTGTGTGGAAGCACATTATTAAAAACGATCATGCTCGGACCTCAAGTGTGTGACAGGTGCACCAAAATCATGCTGGGTGACATCAGACACGAAACCAGCAGGAAATGCAAAGCTCTGACGCTGCTGTCTTATTGACAAACAGCCGAGCATGAAAGAGGATGGCGCCCCCGGGCACAGGACGGCTCCCGGTGAATCACAGCGCGGTCCTCCTCATTTTCAGTCGCGCCCTTGACACAGATCCTCAGTCACCGCGAGATGTGCAGTGGAGATGCAGTGTGTCGCCCGGCGCTGAGGGGGCCCGCATTTGCAGGATTTCCCTTTTCGTGACACGGCTGTGCTAAGGTGGTGAAGCCGGGGGGGGGGAAGGGGGGCTACCACCGCCTTGCACTGCCGTCTGCTGCACTTATAAGCAGTGCCATTTGGTAGAGGCTCGCACCATACCTATGCCAGTGAGGGCGCCGAGTCACGGCTGCGGCACCTCGTCTTCGTCACACGCACAGTCACACACGTGCAGAAGGCCGCACTCTCTCACGGAGCCAGCGTGTGTAAATGTCCTTCCATATATGTGCATGAAAGTGCACCGAGTGATTGTCAGTGTGTGTGGCTGTCTGCCACTGCAAAGCTCCCCACTGCCCGCTTCAGTGGTTTGTTGTGTTTCACTGCAATGTGTGAATGTGTCTGCCTGTTCAAAGTTTTCCAAAGCAGCGTGTGTGTCTGATGTTCAGGCACTGGCATACTCACAGTAAGTGTAGTCACGTGTGCAGGGGGCTGTGAGAAGCTCATTCTATGTCTAAACTGTGGTTAAGTACCTCACAGCAGGTAGCACCTTTAATTAAACACCGTAAGGGGCATAAGGAAATTATTAAAGTAAGCAAGGACCCGCAGCGCAGTGCTCTCAGATGTGGTCCGAGTGGAAATTAGGTCCCGCTGACAAAGCGGAGGGTCTTAGCGATGCATGGTGGTGTGTGAGTGTGGGTATGACGTGCCTGTATGTAAATGTGTACTCCAGTGAAGAAACTGAAGGAGTCATGTGACAGTACTCTGCAGTAGGAATGGGCAAAACTACTGATTTTCTTCTCGATCCAATTACGACTTGATCTAAATGATCACAGATAATTTAGACCACCGATCATTCCGTTTCCCCTTACCTTTTCTCCCCCCTGCCTGGAAGCAGTTCATGTTCTACTTCCTATAAAGATATTACATTTAAATTACTAGCCAAAAAAATAAAATCAGTGTTTTTGTGTTAGAATCAATGCTCAAAATGAAAACATCCAGATCGAAAGATTCGATATTTCCGTATCTATCTGCACATGCTCCGGAGAGCGCCAGTGTGTTTAAGTGCCATGCAGCGTTCATCGTTAAACCACCTTCTATCTACGATAAAGTTAAATCAGCAGATTGCCGCTCCAGCCCAGCTGCAGCTGTCAGAATAAAATCCGCATTATCAAAATTAAGCGTCAGCCTCACCCTTATTAACATATTAATTACTATTGCACCATCTAGACTGGATTTTTACAATGGTCACAAGCAGCCGTGCGGCATTATGGGAAACGAGGCATGCGCCAGTCACATCTGAAGGATGAAGAAATTTTTTTTTCTTCTAAAAAACCACAAAGTTCCTTCTGCATTGTTTAAGATGTCAGACCTGATGA